CCCGGCCCCAGTCTCTCCCAGCAACTGGCGGCCAGTGACTCGGTCGCCTGTCTCTGTCCCCTTCAGAAGGTCTAGACCAGAGTCAGCCGTCTTCGAAGTGGAGACTTGTTTCTAAATCCAAGACACAAGTTTCTTTTGGAGGACATTTTTTGGGCATTTGCAGATTATTATTTTAACATTTCCCCCTAAACCTTCTCTCCATATTTGGACAAGGCAAGAGATGAGAGGACTTTTTCAATTTTTGGTTTCCCATCAGACGCTGCAGCATCTTGGAGAAGGCAGCGGTCCCCGGGCCTCAGGCCTGCAATAGATTCCAGGCTGAGCCTTCAGGACCCACACACAGTCTGGGACAAGGAATGTCAGCCCATAAAATACCACCCCACCCCCCACCGGCTCCAAAGTTCTTTCTCTCTGGAGCATTTTCTGTATGCCGAGATTAGGATCTTCTCTGCCGCTCTGGGCAGGTCAGGGCGGAAAGGGATCAACCCTTTATACAGACAGTATGTTCGTGCGGGACACAGAGTGCCCCCCCACTTTCTCACCTCGACAAATGTCGAACCTGAGGGGCATTCCAAGAACAGTACACAGCCCACCCGCTCTGCCTCGTTCCCTTTGTCTCTTTCGCTCTCTCATCCATATATGTGTCAGTTTTGAATCTCACAACAACCCACATCGCTCCAGCGTGTAACCCTTTACAAACCACAATCAGCCATCATACCCCCAGAACGCCAAGTTCGTAACCTACTCATATCACCTCTGTGGTAATACGTAAGTGTATCATTACATTTATTTTTCTCTGCAGGCAGCCGTGTCACCGTGTCCTACCCAGTCATCCTTTCTGTTGGTTTTCACTTTGGTCCGCACCCCCATCCTTACTGGCCTACTTTTATTTCTCAAATGTGAAGCTGAGGTGCAGAGTCCTGATGCTGGAAGGAACCCTCTGGTCCAGGCGAGGCGTTCCCTTACCGGTGGAGACCCTGTTCCATCCTGTTGGACTCCTGGGTCCCAGCCGGTGTGGCCAGGTGAGTCCCTGCCCTCCCTGTGCCTTGGCCCCTCCCCCCACGGGAAGGTTCCCTCGGGACTGTTCAAGACCCAGGACCTTCATTTCCCCAAGGCAGCTCTTTCACCACTTAACCCTTTTCGTGTCACAAGAGCAGAGTGAGTATCTGCACACAGTAGGGCTCCTAAATATTTATAGGAATTAGCGTCCGCATTTTACAGTACGGAAACCAAGACTCCAAGAGCGGTGGCTTGTCCCCAAGCTATCAGCCAGGGAGAAACACCAGGAAAGTGCCGCCCACCTACGCACACAGTGGGTGCTTTGGTGAGGCCCAGGGAAGATCCAGTGTAAAGGGAGAGGAGCTGGGGCTCCCTTGGGGCTGTATGCAAATAGCCTGCGAGGAGCCTGCGGATTGGCCGGCGCGGGCAGGGGCGGGGCTTGTCCTTGGGCCCTGAGCCAGCAGGTGAGCGAGTGGAGCAGGCCAGGTGCCCAGGCTGCCCCTGTGCTCCACTGGCTCCTCCCAGGCGATGCCTCCGCTCTGGGTCCTGCTGGCCCTGGGCTGCCTGCGGTTGGGCTTGGGTAAGTCCGGGGTGAGAAGAGGGAGTCCTAACTGGGTCTTGAAACTGGGTCCTAGAGGACTGGGAGGCCCAAGGGAAGCCTGGAGAGTGGTGATGAGAACTTCATTTAGTCACTCAAGGAATAGGCATCGATTCCTGGTCAGGAGAGGTGTATGTCGGGGGAACACAGGTTGTTAGTAATAATAGTCATTGCCAACATGTCCCAGTTGCCTTTGGTGATAATCCAAGGTTCTCACGGGTGGGAGAAGCCAACACACAGGGGACTCTGGAGAGCAGAGAAGGGACTAGAGGAGACCCGTGGCAATGCCAGCCTGGAGAGATGGGGGACATTTGGCCGGGGGAGCAGCGGGGCAGTTGCAGGGAGGTGGAGGTGGCAGGGCCATCTGGGCCCCACACATCCATGCCTGTGGCTAGAGCACCGGCATGAGAGGCTTGAGACCCTCCAAGGCAGAGCCCGGGACTTCAGGGCCCGGCCGTGTCTCCAGAGAGGCTGCATGTGTCAGAGGGCAGGAGAGCTACCGTCAGCTTTGCCCATTAGAGATGAGGGGTGAAGAGGGTGGGGCGGGAGGGGCCTGGCCCGTGGAGTCCTCGGAGACTGATGTCTGTAGGGCAGAGAGGGACAGCAGTTTGGCCCAACTGCCCGTTTCTGGCCGGGACGACTGAGTGGGGGTAGGGGCTGCCTGTGTCTGCTGTGAGCTTGCCTTCACCCTTAGGGAGGCCAGGCCCAGCACCGGCACACGGCAGGGCTTGTTAGCTGCATGCAGTGGGCAGAGGGTGCTGGCTATGGCCAGGTCCTGCCCTCATTGTCTCCTCCAGCTGTGGACCTCCAGCCCCAGCTGGCCAGTGTGACTTTCGCCACCAACAACCCCACGCTGACCACCGTGGCCTTGGAAAAGCCTCTCTGCATGTTCGACAGCTCAGAGCCCCTCGCGGGCACCTATGAGGTCTACCTCTATGCCCTGGTCGACTTGGGTAAGGGTCCTGCTTCCCTCGGGCTGCTGTGAACCGGGCTTCGACCTGCCCACAGGCTCTAAGCAATGAGGTGACAGGTCTGCGGGTATTAGGTAAAGTGGGCGAGTGCGAACACAGCACCTACAGCCTCGGGGAGGCCCTTGTCCGTCCTCCTCATGGCACTGGGGGAGGGACGAGATGGCACGGGGCTGGGGCAGACAGGATGCTCAGGGCTGTTTGACGAATGACCAAGTGATATGGCTGAGCTGGGGTGCCCAGACTCCTTACCCCAGCATTGCCTCTGCAGCTGGTTCCAGGAACGCCTCCGTGCAGGACAGCACCAAGGTCCCACTCAGTGCCACCTTCCAGCAGACTGAGGGCGGGAGGACAGGTCCCTACAAGGCTGCGGCCTTCAGCCTGACCCCCTGCAGTGACCTGCCCAGCCTGGATGCCGTTGGGGACGTGTCCCAGGTTTCAGACATCCTGAATGCATACCTGATCAGGGTGGGCGCCAATGGGACCTGTCTGTGGGACCCCAACTTCCAGGGCCTCTGCAACCCACCCCTGTCTGCAGCCACGGAGTACAGGTGAGTGTGAGCAACAGCCCCAGCCCCAGCTCCGACTCAAGGAGACCCCTAGGAGATCGAGTGGGAGAGGCCGCAGTCCCCGAGAGCTTATGTGCTGGACAGGACCAGCTCCCAGTGGGGAAGGCTCCCTGGGGGCACGGCTGGGCAAGGAGCCCCAGCTCAGAAGGGCCCCCGCTTGGCTTCATCCTCTGTAATCACCATGAAATTCATGATTTTTAAAAACTTTAACTTTATTTATTTATTTAAATTGATCAGTGAGGGGGACCAGCAGTTAGCGTAATGGCTATGTCGCTGGATTCCCATGTAGTGGACCGCAGTTTGCGTCCCGGACCTGGTGGCTTAAAACTCACGCCGGGCGCATCTGCGTGCGTGCCCAAGATCCCAAGAGGAGAATGGAGGAGAAGGGGTTGAGGCATGGCCATTCCCTCTGGGGGGTGATTTCTCACTTTCTGTCTCTCTGTCTCTGTCTGTCTGGCGAGCGCACGCGCCCTATGGCAAAAACCTCTACAAACAAACAAACAAACAAACCAAAAAACACTGAATTTGACCAGTGAGGGACAGAATGAAAGAGAGAGAGAGAAAGTGAGAAAGTGAGCCGCCAGGTCCGGGACTCGAACCGTGGTCGGCCACGTGGGAGTCCAGCATCCTTAACCATCACACCACCTGCAGGGCCCTGAAATGCTTGATTTTTGAATAAGGGCCCATGTATTCATTTTGTCCTGAGCCCCAAAGATTATACAGCAGGGCCTAGCCTATCATGTGTGTGGAAGTCTCCCACACAAACCCCTTCATTTTCCAGGGAAGGAAACTGGGGTCCGGAGAGGGCAGATCACCTAGCAAAGAGCTGCGGCCCAGCATGAACTAGAGCCTGTCAGAAGACATTCTACCCAAACCTTGTCCTCTGCCCTTTCCCGCCTCCTTCCAGAGAGCCCTCTCCACCCAAGTGGGTCCCCCGTTCATTTCCACATGCATTTACTGAGCGCCTTTTGGACGTGAAGCTCAGAGCTAAGTCCTGACCCATGACCAGGACCAGATATGACCTGGTGCAAAGCCCTGGGTTATGCCCACTGCAGTTACCATGGAGACGCCTGGGTTGGGGTCTCAGTGGCTTCCAAGCCCACTTCCCACCCTCTCGGCGTGTTTGCCCCCTCCCTAGGCCCCAGCCAC